TCTATAAGACCCACTTTTTCCCTCCTAAAAAGTAAGGGGAAATGTGTGTGTGTCTTATGGAGCTAATGCAGGCTGCGCAGCTATCCCAGAAGCCAGAACAGCAAGAGGGATTGCTGCTTTCACTGCGCAGCAATCCCTCTTGCTGTTCTGGCTTCTGAGATTCAGAATATTTTTTTTCTTGTTTTCCTCCTCCAAAAACTAGGTGCGTCTTGTGGTCTGGTGCGTCTTATAGAGTGAAAAACACGGCATTTGCATGCTTCTGAGTCATTTAAAAGGGCATGTTCCAAAACAATATGACAGTTAAAACCACAAACACCATTCAAAATTTGCACATCTACAGATTTATGTTGTAGCTCTCCAACCTTCCCCCCTCCCAAATATGCATGTATCAAGGGGAAGTGTTTATTTAAAAAATGAATATATTACAGAAAATAACATAATAAAAGAATGCATTATATAGCATAAATGCTTGCAAAAAAATGTACAATGGTCAAAACTACATTAAAAAATTATTTATTAGGAGAAATCCACACTACAGTGCTGAAGAATTTTCTTGAGGATTTGTTTGAAAACAACTTTGTGAATTGCTGAAGAAATATGGATAACTGAATTTAAGACAGGGGGGAAATGAAAAACTGAGAGAACAAAAATGGATAGATTATTCCCTATGGGAAAGGGAGAAAGCAGAAATGGACTCCTCTGTTTCTGTACGAAGTCCAGTGCTGTGCTTCTGCATGGTATAATTTCCACAGCCACATGACTCAAAGGTGCTTTCTATTTGTTTAACCACTAAGTTATTTCAATGCACTTTAAACCTTGGTGAATAAATGTATCCTGAACATCTTCATTAAGCCTCCATTCAGCTTGCCTTAAAGCCTCTCCATTAACGGGATTGGTTGCCAGGCATCCTTATCAACGGAAATTTTTATCCGGTTGTTCCTGCCCACAGAAGAGTTTCCTTACTCGTTGAAAAAGGAAAGATAAGACTGAAGGGAAAGAGGGAGGGAGAAAGAATGGTAGAAAATTGCAATGAATTTGGAAATCCTCCCAGAAATCACGTCAAGTTCTTGTGTCCGTTTTCAGCCTAGAATGGAAATTTGCAAGCAAATATGAATGGTATTTGCCGTCGTATTTTTAAAGGCCACACCATATATTGAAAGCACTATGATGCCACTTCAACTGTCATGGCTTCCCCGCAAAGCATCCTGGGAACTGGAATTGGTTAAGGATACTGAGAGTTGTGAGGAGACACCTATTCCCCTCACAGCGTTTCCTGGGAAGAGGGCTTGATGGTTTAAATCATTCTAGGAACTGGACTGGACTGGTTGTAGGTAAACATAGGCAGGGAGGTGGAAGCTAGCTGAAGACCAGAGGCCAGTTTCACTTTTCCTCCTTCTCACTGGTCCTCATAACATCTCCACACAGCGCTCCAGAAAGCGTTGCCAAGAGGAAGGTGCCCAGGGATGGCCAGTCTGTCAGTGTTTAACGTCTATTGAAAGAATCGGACGCATTTGGCAAACCCACCCAAGGGGTGGGAGGGGGAGGGCCTGGATACGTACTTTGGCTTGGCTTTTTTTGCTGGTGTGATTTATTGATTTGTCTTCTATAAGAAGTTAATCTCACAAAGTGTTCCCGGAGCGCTGAGATACGGCGAAGTGCGTGGGCTGCCCTCAGTCACCTCCCAAATTCCTTTCATTTCACCCATGTCAGTTGAAATATGCGTCACACACACACACACCCCAGTAGGAAGGAGGGAGGGAATTGCAGTGTGACCTGTGCAAATGTGCAAATTGCACAAAAGAGGAATCTCTTCCCCAGTTCAAATCTCACCTTAGCCCTAACACCACAAGACCTACACTCCTAAACCCCGGGAGTAAGTGCCATTGAGTTCAATAGAGCTTACTTCTGAATAGACGAGGCTTCAATCCTAAATCCAGGGAGAAAATCCCAGGGACTATGCAGAGGATTGCCAAGGAAGTTGTCCTTGGCGAGGAACCATCATCGCAGCCCACTGCTACACTGAGCCAAATCAGCAAAACGTCCTTGTGTCATATATTGAATGCAAGAGCCCTGCTGGATGAGGCCAATGGGCCATCTAGTGCAACATCCTGCCCTCACTGTGGCCAACAGCCTATGGGAAGCCCACAAGCAGGACCTGAGGACAACAGAGCTCTGCCTACTTGTGATTCCTAGCAAACTACTGCCACTACCAGTGGAGGCAAAACATAGTCATCAAGGCTAGTAGCCTCTTTTTCATTAATTTGTCAAATCATCTTTTAAAGCCATCCAAGTTGGTGGCCATCAGGGCTTCCTATGGGACTACAACTCCCATCAGCTCCAGCCAGCATGGCCAATAGGACATCTGGTAGCCAGCAGGCAAAGGCTTAGCTAATCCTCTGCCTGATCCAACAGCACCATTTCTCATGTAGTTGCACCAGCCCCATAAGTTTGCATGGTGGTGGCCCAGGAGAGGGCATGTATCTCCCATAGCTGCCGAACTCACTCACTCACAGGGTTGCATCTGGTGCCTTCATTATACAGCTTTGGAGAATGCTCTTCAGAGAATGCTGAAGGTGCACCTCTTTATCCTGGCCTTCAAACCGTGAAAGGTATATTTTTAGGACCCACCCTAATATTGTGACTTTACGTTGTTTTAAACTGTTTTTAATGTGTTTTACATTTTCATGAACCGTCATAGGTCATCTTAGGGCAATAAACCAAATCATTATTCTAAGTAGTACTAATAATATTTAAACAGCTTGATCCTTTTGCACGAAGGCCTCCTGCGCCCTGCTCATTGCCATGCCAACAGCAATGTGTCAATCAGAAACCTCTCCTCTAGCTCAGGTTTCTGAAAAGGAGGCATCTCAGCTGATGTGCATGTCGATAAAGGTCAGCTTTAGACCCACTTACATAGAACATTTGACTTTGGCCAAGTGCAAACAGCTCACAGAGCCTCTTCAGTTTTATCTGTGGACACTCTGGATTTACAAGGGCTGCTGGAAGCTCCCTGATAAAAGAAGCACATTGGCAGTGCTGGGTGGTTGCTAGCTAGCAAAGCGTGCCTGGGCTTGTGTAGAAAACATCTATTGACGGGGGCTAAATGAAGTTGTCTCCAACTAAAGAGATAGCAGCCAGATGATGGGAAGATGTGTAGCTGAGTGAGAGGGCAACTGCCTGTCAGCCCCAAATGCCTCCGTCTTTCTGGATGGGTCCCTCGTCCTCAGCCCCAGAGAATCCCTGCCAGTCAGTGCAGACTACAGTGGTACCTCGGGTTAAGTACTTAATTTGACCTGGAGGTCTATTCTTAACCTGAAACTGTTCTTAACCTGAAACACCACTAATGGGGCCTCCTGCTGCTGCAGCGCCACCGGAGCACGATTTCTGTTCTCATCCTGAAGCAAAGTTCTTAACCCGAGGTACTATTTCTGGGTTAGCAGAGTCTGTAACCTGAAGCGTATGTAACCTGAAGCGTATGTAACCTGAAGCGTATGTAACCCGAGGTACTACTGTATACTAAGCTAGATGGCCCAAATGGGCTCTTCCAGATGTCCTTTTTATTGCACATTCATGCTGATTTGTGTTCATGATGCTATCAGGGCAGCCATATGCAATCCTGTTCTCAAAACCCTTTGCAGCTGAGAAAGGGTTTGGGCGGTCACACTGCTTCATTTCCACTTCGTATCTCATAATTTCCTGATAAAATCCTGCAACAAATGTTCTGGTTTTTGTTTTGTTCCACTTTAGTTGCACCGTAGCCCCTTCTGGACAGTAATTATGTGGAAGAATTGGGGAAGCACCAGAGAGCAAACTAAAGCAGAACAAACCCACTGCTAATGTGTCAAGAAAAGACCTGAAGTCCCCCACCCGATCCCTGTACCCTCAAGGAGCGTCCCAATAGCTCTACTGTTCCCTAAGCTTCAGTCCAGTTGTTCCTGTGGCTTCCTTCATTGCAATTCCAAAGGAGCGCAGCAAATTTTGGGTGTGGTAGAAGTTGGGGAATCTTTTTCCCAGCCCAAGTCACATATTCCCTTGTGGGCAACCTTAAAGGCATTGTGTGCCTGCGGTGGACAGGGCCAGAGGCAAAAGTGAGAGGAACCATGGATGTGAATCTTACCTTTTATAAAGAAAAAACTACCCTGCAGCCACACGACTGCCAGAGGTTTCTTCATACGCATCTCTCTCTGTCCTCCATGCGGGCAAGCGAGAGGGGCAAGGGTCATGGACATATCCCAGCCAGGATAAGGCCTACAAGAAGGGGGTGGGATAGGACCAGTGTGTGGTGCGGCCTGAGAAGGAGTGTGGGTTGGAGAGGGTACCAAGGGCCAGGCAGAGAGGCCTAGAGGGCTGCATTCAGACCCCAAAACCTGAGGCTCTCCAGACCTGTCACAGAAAGACCAGCGTCAGCCTCTTATCTCACCCATCCTCTGACTTTTCCGAAACCTTTCCAAAACACTTCTCTCACCTGAGTCAGTGAAGAAGTTCAGTCAGATGCTCACGCATTGTTAATTTATTCTTAAGTGAACGTGCTTAAGCAAGCAGCCTAAACCCTAAAGTTCCCATCATAATCTCATTAAGCACATCTTAAAGGGGGAGATCCTGCAAAACACAACCTCAAATGTCATTTCCCCCACCACCACTGCATTTAAGGCCCAGAGATCCTGCCCCGGGTCTGTTTATCACAGTACTACGCCCCATCCGCATTATACATTTAAAGCAGTATCAAAGCACTTTAAACAGCCATGTCTTCCCCCAAAGAATCATGGGAAGTGTACTTTGTTAAAGTGGCTGAAAGGTGTTAGGAAACGCATATTCTTTTTTTAACGAAAAATTAAGTTTTTACATCAAGTTTAAAGTATATAAAACAAACAGAACAATAACAACAACAAACAAGTGTGGGACAATCAAATTGAAGAGTCTGGGTGCTGTAGCTAATGGAGGCGAATAGGGGTCTCCCAACAACCACAAACTGCACTTCCCAGGATTCCTTGGGGGAAGACATGGCTGTCTCAAGTGGTATGATACTGCTTTACGGTGCAGATGAGGCCCTGGTGGAAACAGCAAGCCTCAAAGCACTTGTTCATGGGTTACCCTTCCAAATTTTTCTTGGACCCCATGTAGGTAAGCAGTTCATGGACATGCCCCCTCGAGAGAACAGGTGGGACCACTTATCCTATGTTAGACCTGGAGCCCATTACTCTACGGCCGGCTTAATCAAATGGCCATTGAAGGTGATGTAGATGTCTGACTCCTCGCTGTAGATGCCGTTCTCCCTCTCCCGCTTGAACATCCGCACCCAAACCTCATCCCCTTCGTGGAGGTCGAGCATGAGGCTCTGGCTCTGCATAATGCTCCGCTCGCTGGGCTGCGAGTAGAGAATGGCCACCTCATTGTCATTCTTCATGATGTGGAGGTAGGTTTCCTTGTAGTTCCAGGTGTGGACATTGAGGTTGAAGAAGTAGATCCCTGGCACATAGCAGAAGAACTTCCCCGTGAACATGTTGAAGTGTTTGTAGAGGTTGACAAACTCGGTGTCGAAAGTGACGTGCTGGTAGTAGTCAGAACTGTGGAGGGGTTTCCGCCGGCCCACAGAAAAGGCCACGTAATGTTGCTTGCAGGAGTTGCCCGGTAGCCCAATGTGGCCCTTTTGCCCTTTCTGGCCGCTATGACCACGAAGGCCTCGTTCACCTGCTTTGCCTTCCGGGCCAGAAATTCCTCGCTCTCCCATTTCACCTTTTTCACCTGAGGGCACAAGGAGAGGGCAGGTTGTGAAAGTGCTTATCTGCCATGTAGTTGTGGGCTGGAGGGTAGGGGTATCTGGCCAGGACAAAAGTTTGATTGCATTCCTGAATTGCAGGGTGTTGAACTAAATAACCATTTGCATCCCTTCCAACTCTATGATTCTATGGAGGCCAGGCAAGAACATAAGAAGAGCCTGCTGGATCAGGCCAATGGCCCATCTAGTCCAACTTCCTGTTTTCAGAGTGGACAACCAGATGCCTGTATGAAGCCCACAAGCAGAGCCTGAGCACAAGATCACGTTCCCCTCCTGCACTTCTCAGCTACTAGTATTCAGAAGTGTTGCAGGCTTAGCCAAAGGAGGCAGAGTATAGCCATCATGGATAGGAGTCACGGATAACCTTCACCTCCATGAATTTGTCTAATCCTTTTTTTAAAGCCATCCCAGATGGTGGCCACCACTGCCTCCTGCAGGAGTGGATTCCATAGTTTAACTGTGCGCTGAGTGAAGAAGTACCTTCTGAATCTTTTAATATCCAGGAGCCAGTTTGCAAAGCTAGAATTCAGTTTTGGCACATGTGAAGTAAGGGGCGATGCCAATAACGAATGGATTTTGAACAAGTGGTATTAAACATATCTATAGTTTACTTGAAGGACCACCTTTACCTGTATACATGCCCTCATGCTGATATTTGCTTCTGGGGTCCTTCTGGATGCCCACTGCTGAGATGGCTCAAGTTGGCATGCACAGACAGTAGATCTCTGCAGGCCTCGTAGCTGAGCTCTGCATATATCCCTCTTCAATGCTATCTTTTACTGTGATTGGAATCAGCCTGAGTGCTACAGAAAAGCTCCTTAAAATATTCTGGATCCAAGCCAGCGTTACTACTATAGCTTGATAATTTCTCTTGCTCTTGGCTGTGTATCACTTTGTGAGGGCAAAGCCCTAAAAAGCAACTTAAGGAAAATAAAGGTAAAGGGAACCCTGACCATTAGGTCCAGTCGTGACCGACTCTGGGGTTGCACGCTCATCTCGCTCTATAGGCTGAGGGAGCCGGCATTTGTCTGCAGACAGCTTCCGGGTCATGTGGCCAGCATCACTAAGCCACTTTTGGTGAACCAGAGCAGCACACGGAAACGCCGTTTACCTTCCTGCCAAAGCGGTCCCTATTTATCTACTTGCACATGACGTGCTTTTGAACTGCTAGGTTGGCAGGAGCAGGGACTGAGCAACGGGAGCTCACCCCGTCACGGGGATTTGAACCGCCGACCTTCTGAACAGCAAGTCCTAGGCTCTGTGGTTTAACCCACAGTGCCACCCGCGTCCCGTAAGGAAAATACTTTTAGGGAAATACATAAATGTTGTTCAGCTGGGAGACGGAATTAAGGGATGAAGGTAAAGGTAGCTGAGTCATGAGGACGGCCCCTACAGGAACGTCCATCCATCACCAGATTAGTCAGCACCGAATTGTTTGCAGCTGAATGTGTGAATTTGTTCCAGTGAAAAAAGAGTACATTTAAAATGAGGTTGAGTGCTTTTCCTTTCCAACTGGTCATTATGAGAACTCTGTAACTAAGAAACAGTGCCTGGGTTTGCTTTCTCCACCTCCTCCCTCCAAAGCCTTTTTCCTTTTGTGCTGTGCCTTTTCAGTTATAAGACAGAGGGTAAGGACCGTCATTATTGACATTCATAAGCCTTTGGTGGGGAGATGGGGATGTTGAAAAGAAGGGGTTTTTTTAAAAAAAAAAAGTATGTTGCAAATCAATAAATAATCAATATCTATGGTTTCTGAATGCTATGCACACACACTAGCTTCATTGCTGGATGCTGCAGACATTGAGTGGTAAATGTGCCCACGTGAAGCGACTCTTGCAGGGAAGAAGGACTAACCTTGGACAGCTGCTTACCTTTCAAGATTGTGATGTTGATGGTGGGCTGGATCCTGGGCATGGCATAGACGGAGTCGCTGGTCATCCGAGTGTAGCGGGAAGCGGTGATGGAGCCGGGCTGCTCAGCTGGCCCGCAGCATCGCACGCATGATGAAACCCTCCGGGCCTCTCTCTTTGGGAAGGCCTTTTCACCCAGTGGTCTTGTGGCATGCAGAGAAGAAGCCAGGAGCAGGAGAAGGGGCACCCTCATCTTGGACTAGCCAAATGAGAAGGAAGAAATGTTTTCCAGGGAGAGGGAAGGGACTCAGGGCCACCTAACTTACCCTTGCATTGCAGGCGTCTTGCTGAATCAGGGACCCCACCACCAACAACAACAACTGGTGGTGGTGGTTTTTTCCTGGCTGTCTTCTGAATTTATGGCTAATTTTAATTTTTTTATGTTGTGCTCCTTGGGCAGCCTTTTTGTATCTCCATTGTCTGCTGCTTAAAAACTGCGGGGTTATTTTGGTTGCCCTTTTCTGAAGCTTTTCCAACTCAACAAAAAACTGTTGCTTTAATTTAGTGCTTTTTTTCTAAAAAAAAAATGTTTAGGGGTACTCAAGAAAATCACCATTTTATAGTTCAAATTGGGAAAAAATAAACACAGTAAATGGACAAAAGTACAAAGATTCACAAAATGTTTAGGTCATGCGTATCCCCAGAAAAAAAGCACAGCTTTAACTTATTTTCTTCCACAACACGCCTGATCCTTTTTCAGCTCAGGACTCTCTCTCTCTCTCTCTCTCTCTTTTAAAAAAAAAAGGTTTTCTGACACCTTTGCTTCGCATGCAGCTGAAGAAGATCGGTAGGAAAAGAGAAAATGCATCAAATCTATTATTAACTATTTTGCCAGAGAAACATCCACCCCACAGTCTCATTTATCTGCTGTAGCTACCTATATATAAAATGATGGATGAGTGCAGTGGGCCTGCAGTGTCTGAACATGGCAAAAACCGATCAAAGCCCTATTTGCTCACCATGACAGGTGCTTCAACAATGCGGGGTAGTAAAAAGAGTGATGGGTGAAAGGAAGCATCCTGGGGTCTAGGACACATATTTTGGCTTATTAGGTTGTTGTGGAAAATAAAGACACCTTCTATTAGTCCCGAAGTAACTGTGTTTAGTTTCCCCCACTTCCACCTTAACAGCAAATATTTGAAGGATCACCTGCTAAGCAGTCATGGGGCATTACCAGGAATATGCTAGACACCTGTAGTCAAAGATTTGGCTTGTGAGTTCAAATCATTATCTGGAATTATGTGTGGAGACTGGTCCATGAGGCCAAATAGGGACACTGCCCCACCAGTCTCAGCCTGTCCTCAACCAGTCCCCATATGCCTGTTTTCTTACCCTTTTGGGGAGGGTCAATTGATGTTTGATATTGTTTCTTTCCTTGAGAAAGCAGGCCTTGCATCTGCTGTGGTTTAATTTTTGAGCTTCTGGAGCTCAAGGACATCACACCATGCTCACACCATACCAAAACAAACATTGCTTAGTACAGATAACATCTCAGCTTACTGTGCTTCTCAGTGTCCCCGTTATATGCAGATACAAATCCTTCGGAGGTGAAGTGATTGTCATTTTTACTTGCCATGAACTCACCCAGTTTAAGCTTGTCGTTACTAACGATCCAAAAGCTTGGCTGTCCTTGCAGTTTTATGAGAGGGTGTCCTAGAGAAACTGAGAAAACATCATCAATTCATATTGGGAGCCTGTTACGTAAGTCCTCCATTCAAATTTCAGAAGAAGAGGAGTTTGGATTTGATACCCTGGTTTATCACTACCTGAAGGAGTCCCAAAGCGGATAACATTCTCCTTTTCCCTTCCTCCCCCACAACAAACACTCTGTGAGGTGAGTGGGGCTGAGAGACTTCAAAGAAGTGTGACTAGCCTGAGGTCACCCAGCAGCTGCATGTGGAGGAGCAGGGAAGTGAACCCTGTTCAGATTACAAGTCTACCGCTCCTAACCACTACACCACACTGGCTCTCCAGGTGACCTTGAACCAAGAGTCACCAACATGGCACAAGTGGTCACACTGGCACCCTGATTTCTTTTCTGGCACCCATGTTTGAGCAAAACTCACACACTGACTTCCTGCTTGAGGGTGGCTGCCTTTTTCTTTCTTGAAAAGCACATAGAAGAGGAAGTTGAGAAAGTGGTCCTCTTTCCCTCTCCCTCTTTCAGCTCTATGTGATTTTCATGTCTCAGATAATTTATAGTGGAAGTTATAAGAGCTGTGTGGCCCCCATGGCACTTGCTCAAAAATCCGAAAGGTTGGTGCCTCTTCCCCCCCGCTATCTTAAAAAAATCACCCTTTTTTCAGACTCTGCTTCCCGGTCTGAAATAAGGAAATAAGAATACTGCACACATGCCCCAGAATATTTCATAGCTGAATATAGGGACATAATTGCAACTTCATACTCTTGGGTACTTTTTTCCTATGGAAGTCCGAGCAAGGCATTGTGGCTGATGTGTTGCTACCATTGGAAAGAGAAGCCCCAAATGTCCTCTTCTCTGTAGTATTTAGTAACAGAGTACATGACAGGACGTCTTTCCATTATGAGTTTTCTCACCTCCATCTCTTTTCATTGGTCTGCTACTTTCAGGGGTGGGGAAACTCAGAGTGCAATGGCATCACATCCAAGAGCTCAGTGGTATTATTATTATTATTATTATTATTATTAAAATTTGTATACTGCCCTTCATCCACAGATCTCAGGGTGGTTCACAACAGAAAAATATAATACAAAAGCACAACATACATAAAAAAGAACAAAAAGCTCAAACCCATAATATTGAGAAAGAGCGAGGGTCTGACTTGGTATAAGGCAGCCTCCTATGGCAAAAACTGGGGCACCTTTAGGCCTGATCCAGGAAATTAATCCTAAAGTCTCTCTCCCCTTGGCACAAGAAAGAGTCAACAAAAGGCTTGGAGAGGGAGTTAAAGAGCTAAGCTGATGGCCAGGGGCCAAAAGGTAAGACCGAGATTACATTTCTCTGGGAGTATTCAAAGCTGATCATGTTATTGAGAAGAAATCCTTATCTTTGAAGTGGAGGAAAAGGGAACCAGACCAATTGCTGGCTCGAAGATTATAGGAGCTTTTTCATTGCAAAGTCAGGAAACACAGCGGGGTTGTTCTAAAATCGATAGTGGTGTTAATTTGAAACTGGCAAGTACTTATCTTTTGTCGTGGTGACCAGTGGTGTAGCGTGGGGGTGCAGGGGGGGCCGGCCGCACCAGGCGCAACATCTGGGGGGGGCGCACTCGTACTGCCGCTCTCTGCCCCTACCTGACTCACTCACTCTCTCTCATTGCAGTGCTGGCTGTGAGAATCCGATCCGAGCCGTCGGGTCGCCGCCCACTGTGGAGGGGGGGGTGCCAGGCGTGCGGGTTAGGGGGCGCAAATTACTTGCCTTGCCCCGGGTGCTGACAACCCACGCTACGCCACTGGTGGTGACTCCTGTTCTTAGGAACAAAGTAATCCACTTTAGGCCAAGTCAGGCCATTGGTCCAACTTGCTCAGGATTTTCTACACTGACTGGCAACAGCTCTCCAGGGTTTCTGGCAAGGGAATACGCTTCAACAGTCCCAATTTTCCCAGGAAAGCTCCAGAATGTCTAAAGCCATCATGGCTTCTTTTTTGACCCCAGGGGCGCCCAATTTCTCCCGGCCAGTGGACGGGGGCAGCAGTGGCATTGGGAAGGAGATATGAGGGCTCCTCCCCTTTCCCCGAACATGGTGCCCTTCCAGGACCTTCTTAACTACAACGCCCATCGGCCACCCAGGTTACCTTGCTGTGGAATGGGAGATCTGAAGGTGCTGTCTCCTTCACTCCATCTTCCTCTTGGCTTCAGAGCTTCCCATGGACTGGGGTCACTTTCTTCTGTGCGTTTGGGCAGACAGCAGGGGCTGGCGTTGGTTCTCTAGCACCGTGTTGTTGGAGTCACGAAAAGGGATGGAGATTTCGGCAAGGAAGCTTTGACTTCAGAAAAGAAGTGCAGCTACAACAATGGTCAAAGTGTTTACAGTGTTTTCTGCTGCTTCTGGGAACATCCTGCTGATATAAGACCCTCTGCCGCCAAATGTTTTTGAGACATTTTGATAGTGTTAGTAGCCAAAACAAGTGGTGGTTCAAGGATTTTTGAGGAGAGAGAGAGAGAGAGAGAGAGAGAGAGAGAGAGAGAGAGAGACTGTGTTTTTCTGTGTATAAGACTAGGTTGTTGTTTTTTAATACCAAAAAATAGGCTTAAAATTGGGGCTCATCTTATACATGGGTAGTGCTGAGGGGTGTTTTCTGATTTTGGAGTCCCCCAAAATAGGGGTGTCTTATACATGGGGGTGTCTTATAGATGAAAAAATGTGTGTGTGTGTGTATCTCCCATGCAACTATTAAGCTCACTTTTCACCTTCCCAACTGTATTTCTTCATGCTAAGCTAGAATCGTAATGAGGCACTAGAAATCCTCCCGAAGGGGCTGTATAACGACAGCCTTGCATTTTTAGGTATATATAGGAAGGCATGGAAAAAGAGGGTATAGAAATGGAAAAGGCACAGATTTCCTGCATTATTGTGACATACATTGTAATGTATAATTATCTTTATTTATTAGTCGCATTTTTGCACTCAGGTGTCTCAAAGTGATTTACAGAATAAAAACAGAAACAGCAGTTCCACACATGCAATGAATGGCCAGGTTTTGCCTGAGGGCCAAATTAAGATGTGGCATTAAGCATGCAAAATACTAATAATTAATAATAATTAGTCATAATAGTAGTATGTATTATGATTATTTTCTTATTAATCACCTTCCACAATGCATCTCAAGGTGATGTACAATAAAAATGATAAAAAGAACACAAAAAACAACAGAAATGTGTGTGTGTTGCCCTTATATTCCTGCTCTTTCTCCATGGGGCTCAAGGTAGAAGACATGATTTCCTCCTCCTCATTTAATCCCCACAACAACCCTGACAGGTAGGTTTGGCTGAGAGGCAGCAACTGGCCCAAGGTCATCCAGTGAGATTCATAGCCGAGTAGGGATTTGAACCCTGGTCTCTCAAATCCTGGTCTGACACTCTAACGCTAACTAATACACCACACTGACTAGATAGATAGATAGATAGATAGATAGATAGATAGATAGATAGATAGACAGACACTTAGACAGACAGACAGGTACCAAAGGATGCCCATGATAGAGACCCATTCA